GGTGGCAACAGTGACCGTGCAACAAAGGAAGGACTGTTGTTGCAGACTCTTCCTCCTCACTAAGACAGCCAATGCTGTCAGGAGGGCACCTCCTAGGAGGAAAACGTGCATTTCTGGAGAATGTTTCTGGCTCAGGCACCTCTGGAAAGAACTCTGAAAGGAGCACCCATGTCCTTCGTTCTCCCCACAGCTGTGTCCGGGGGCCTCTGCAGAGCAGTGAGACGCTCATGGAAAAACGAACCGACCAACAAAAACTACGATGTCATGGTACTCATGGCTCGAATCCCTCGAGTTCCTTCCACACTAGCTGCCTTAATGGGCCGGTACCTGGAATGATTCTGTGAGGGCACGTGATTGACTATGGGATGTCTCAGAACTGGCCACTCGCTTGGTTTCGGGGAAAAGTCTGATGTGATTTCCTTGATCATCTGACATGCTTTCCTTCTTAATGCTTTGATTGGTGGCATTCTTCTTGCTTACTTATTAAAAACATTTCATGGAATGTGGATGGTTTCTTTGCAGACTTCCCCCTCTGTCCATGGTTTTTATTCTTCACTTTTGATATCCTGGCCTTCTTAGTGTCATCTAAGGCATGTTTCCTCTAGAGATGATGCTGCGTCTTTAGCCCTCTGCTGGGACCTCTTAAAATGCATGACAGGATCAATCCATGCTCTAATAAGGAAAAGCCTCCCAAGCAGTTAGGTGATAAAATCTTTTAGCCTTGACTTTTTGCCAAATAATCTCAATAAAGAGGGTTCTTCTTTTTGTCCTAAGTATCAGCAGTGATAACCCCGATGCTACCTGTCTCGGTTATTCTATACACAGGGGTCATAGTAATTATTATCTTTATGTTATTAGTAGCCCAGTTTCTGTCCTTGCAGATATTAGATTCTGATTGTGGTTAAATGTCTTTGGTTACATGCGTGTCCTCAACATCAGAAACCACTGTTGGCCCTGAGTCTGGGCTGGACACGTCATCCACTGTCAAAGAGCTGGGTGAGGATCCTTCTAGAGGCAGAGTACCAGGAGAACACTGCCCATCCTTCTCTCCTTCCTCAGGTGACTTCAAGCAAAGCTCAAGTCCATCTTCCGCCAGGCTGGATGGAGAGCTACCATCCTTCTCTGATTCCTGGCTGGGGTAAGAACTACAGGACTGGGCTGTTTGCACAGCTCCAAGCCCTTCGGCTGCCATTTGGGGAATGTCTGTCTGTCTCTCTTGCAGTGCGCTGGCTTCTGGAATGCCAGGAGCACATGGAGGTGGCTCCGTGGGTCCTTTTAGAGAACCTGTTTTATTGTTTTCTGGTCTCGGTGCCCTTGCCTTCTTTTTGAGAGACCAATTTTTCAAACTGGCTATACCATTTCTGAACCATGTGCTGGGGTGCAGAGTTACAGAACGCATTTGTGAATGCCCTTCTAGGCTGTCCTTTTTTGTATGAGCCAGGTGGCTGCTGGCCTGCCCTGACGAGGGACCGGGAATTCCAGAAATGAGGCTGGAACTGCTTAAGTCAGAAGAAAGCTCTTCCTGTTTTCCTTGAGCTTGAAAAGTGCAATCTACTGGAGAGGATGTTTCAGTGGGTGTAAACACCGACTGTTCAGAAATCTGAGAAAAACCGCTGTCTTGGGAGCTCACTGGCGAGCCAGATGGGGACGTGTCCGGGGAGGACAAGCTGGAACAGCTACTCCTCGGGCAAATGCTTAACCTTGGGGGGAAGACCTTCTCAGTGATCTGCTTTGTGGCACCACTCTTGCCAACCTCGATCCCCATGACCAAGCTCTGACTGATAAGCTTTTGCCCCTCCATCTGCAAAGACTTGTGCCGCTCGAGATAATCCTCCTCTTTGTGCGAGAGGCTGGCGTCACAGCTTGTGTTGTGCTGCTTCTTTTTTGAATAAAGTCCCCTGAGATAGGTCAGTTTGCAGTGCTGGTCATCAGTGCTGGGCTCTGAGCAGTGCCGCTGCCTCCCTGAGCCTTTGAGGGGCTCTGCTGGGCATGGCGGGGAGTACCCAGCCGTGTCCACAGCGATGGGCTGGTTCGTGGGACAATCGTGTGAGGAAATGGTCACTGGCTTGGATTTAGGAAAAAGGTTTGCGTGATTTCCTTCGCTATCACACCAGCTTTGCTTCTTATCATTTTCATCAGTGGCATTTTTCTTGACATCAGTGTCTGTGACTAAACTTGTTTTAAAACCTGTCTTACCCTCTTCCTGGAGGGGTGGATTCTGACTCAGATGGTTCTCATCTTTTTTCAGGAGAATCGCATCGCAGCTGGACTTGCGTATCCTTTTCTGATAAAACGCCCTAAGAAAGGAAAGCTTCGAACCCAGGTAGCCGATGCTGGGCTCCGAGCAGCGCCGCTGTTGCCTCGGGCTTTTTGGAGCACCTTCCGTAGCTGCGGACAGGTGGCTGGGGGTGCTCATGCCAGAGGGGGCAGTGGCCTGGTCCTGCAGCGAGGCCTTTCTGTACACTGCCGCCACGGTCACTGGCTCAGGCTCATCGGGCTGTTCCACCTGAACGTCTTCATCTTTAGGATCGTCTAAGTCAGAGTCGCTCAGGGTTAAATCGCCTTCTGCCTCAGGCTGCTCGAGGTCATAGTCACTGAGGGTTAACATGGAGTCCATGCTTCTGCTGCCTGGACCGAGTTTCTTTACCAAGTCACTGCATGGAGCATCAACTTCTTCGTTCAGCTCATTTTCCAGGCTGTCATAGGAGGAGTCATTCAGCTGGAAGAAAGAGTTATCTGTCGAAAAAAATCAAACCATGATTAACATTTGCACTTGCCTCAAATACATGCTGCCTTAAAAAAAACAAAACACTAAACAACTATGATGTTTAGTTTAATTCTGTTTTCATGCAGATTTTTCAAATTCCTACTCTCAAGAAAGAAAGCATCTTTCATAATCTTTCTAGTTGTTAGTGCAGAAACTAAAAGTAAATTTTTGGGGTACACTAGATTTACCTCAGTCCCTGAAGAAATAGCTTTTCTTTAAGATTTCCTCAAAGCAATGAAGACATGTCATAATACCAGGAAATGGTAAAAAATACAAAGAAATTAATGCAGATACACTCAGGTTCTGAATAAGACTGTGTCTTTTAAATGGATTAGCTGGTGGATACACCTAACTAACTCTATTAGTCTCAGAGAAACCATTTACCAACCTTATCAATTTCCCTTTGACAAAGTTCTTTAATATCTATTACTTTGTTTATTCTTTACAGCAATCATACCAGTTGGATGTTATGGTTTCCCATAATTACAGGAGAAGATACTAATGTTATGGTGGCACAGAATAATTGTTCAAAGATAACCAAGAATTGGTGGTACAGGCATTCATATTTTGGAAGGCTGAATGTCTTCAAGCCCCACACACCCTGCCCCGCCCCATGAAGCTAGCTGTTTTCTCAAGTACTTTGCAGGGCGCTGGATTTCTGAGAGGTGTCAGGGACCTCGGAGAGGAAGATGAGGAGCAACCAGGCCAGGCCTGCTTCTGGGTCTCCTACTCCAGTTTCAACCACAGCAGTTCTGTTATACTGTAAGATATTGCAACAATATGTTGTAACAATATTGTTATATTGTAAATCTGTTAATTGTTCTATTGTATATCCTTGTAAGGTTTTATTTTGAAAAAAGAAGTTAGAATTCTGCCACTAACAACTTCTTGGAGTTTGGGAACCTTGTCTTATACACTAGGTAACCTGACCACAGTGTTAACACAGCCTGACCTACGAGCAGGCCGTCTAAGGAAGGGGCGGAAGCCCGCGGCCCCTGACTCAGGCGAGAGGCCCCTTCACCCGAGCTGCTCTGGGCTGCAGGGTAGTCGGTGCCCTCGCTGACCTTCACGTGTGTGTCCATTTCTCACACACAAAAACAACCCCATTATTCACAATACCTGAGACATTCTCTTTCGTAGCACATGTCACTGAAACCTCTTCCAAAAGGGAAGTGATTTCTTCTCCAAATATTCTACAGCAGTTTTCAATCAGAAATTGTATAAGCAGAGAAACCTGCACAAAAAAGGAACAAAAATGAAGGCCTACTTTTCACATAGCACACCTATAAATCACACTTCATATACGAATCCTGGTTCAAACCGAAAAAAAAAAGTGAAAGAATCCTGAGAAAAAGTCAAAGTTCACGTCTGCTTGGAAACTAAACAGAACCGTTTCCCCTAAAAAAACAACGTAGTTTGAGTATAGAAATCCATTTTAACCAGTGGCTTAAAGTTATTATTTGTGGCCTTGGTTTAATGCTAACATTTTGATACTAATGGTCCTGTCTTTAAAATTAGGGTAATTTTAAGTATTCTCTGTACAGGGCATTTGGGATGAAGAAATATACTTTCTTATTAAAATTCATGAAGCATCGTTAGACTTATAAAATATATTTCTTATGTAAAAGGCAGGTGTCATAAGTGTGGGAGGTGGGCATCCTCTGTGGATTTACTGTGAAGGAGAGAGACGGCTGGAGAGAAAAGCGTACATTTTCCCTGACCAGCCTCTTCCTATGCATTTGCCTCCCTGAGGAGCCAGAACTGGAGATGCTTGGAGAAGAGCTCACTGGGGAGCGCTGCGCCTCCACTGAGATATACTGGAACCTTTCCATAGTCTTCTTGCCCCAATAGCTGAGGCAAAGGAGCAGGCAGAACGTTGGGAGGAAGAGGAATCAGTGCCCCATCCCTGTACTAACCATCAGGTACTGCAGGAGTGTGATTTCAAGTAAGTACTGAGTGAGCGAGGTACCATCGCCACCTCCATTGTGTTAGATGAGGAAACTGTGGAACAGTGTAACTAATTCTGCCCTAGATTGTACATCTGGCAAGTGGGGAGGGCTGAGATTTCCACCTGCGCCTGTTCAATTTCAAAGTCTTTTGCTTCTTTTTAAAATCTTATCAACTGCTCTTCTCCCTCTACGGTTTCAGTCAATCACAGCTGTTTTGCCTCCTTAAAGGGAAAACAGAAGTAACCCAATTACTATCACTTTCTTTGCTTAAGAAATCAGCTTTCTGCAGTCTACCAGGAGAGGACAGAACAGTCGATGAACTCAGACTTATAAGAAGATGTACTTAAGGACGTGTCTTTCAGAACTAATACCCCAAACTTTAGGTTCAAAACGGGGACTCAGTGCCCCAGGGCAGAAAAATGAAAAACATTACCTTATTTGTAAATTCACTTTCTATTTCGGGGCTGGAGGAAGCAGGAGGCCAAAGGATGCTTGGAGCGATGCACACTGCTAAGTTAAATGAATTCATCTGGTTCCATGAGGCATGGTTTTCAATCTTGTGCAATAACCCGAAAAGATACTTTAGCAGAACAACATTCATTCTTGGGAGCCGGTCTAATAGCCTAAAGACAGACAAAGGTGCTCTTTAAGCAAGACATTTCGTGGAAAACTTGTAGACAAGGCAACCTTTCTTCACTTTTCATGGGGAACCACGTGAAGCAGAAACACAGTTCAGGTATGCGGGAGTGTCAGCTCATATGGTACGTGCAGAGCGAGGACTGTCTTACAGAGGGGAGAGAGTAAGACTCAGGGGGGTTATTCATTTATTTTGTATATTCTGTCTCTGGGTGAGAACCTTTCAAGCCTCAGCCACAAAGACTCCCAGTTCCATCCTGAGAGC